ACCTCAACAGAGCAAATTATTCATGCTTTTCTAGTGAACTGAGATCGACCCAGGGAACAATACGGGTACACACTCCATCATGGCCCCCTGGACCACTGCAGCAGCCTGCCCAGGAGCCTCTGTCTCTGCCCTTTGCCCCTTAGAAGCCATTCTTCAGCTGCAGCTGCAGGGTCCTGTTTCAAAGTGAATCCTAGCCTATGGCCCCCATGACCAACCCCTCAGCGACTCTGGTTTTCTGAGAGTCAGATCCTGATTCTTAAAGTTCTAAAAGGCTCTCCGTGATCTGTCCCCATAGCCTCTCTGTCTGGTCCCCTTCTGCTTTATCCCCCCTCAATCCACTTGGCTCCAGTCCCCCTGGTCCTGTCTGCCTCTCAAACACACTAAGCACATTTTTTGACAGACTCTGCTCAATGCCTCTTTATGACTGAGGGTTTCCCTGACCCTCTACCACCTTCTGAATCCCCATCACTCCCTTTCTTCACGACTCTCATCAAGACCTGGCATAGGATTTTCCCATTTTTATTGTCTGTCTCCCTCCTAGAAGGATATATATATATATATTTGTTTTTTGTTTTTTTACTGTATTTTGTTTATAGCTGTTTCCCTACTCAAGAAACTATGTTCTTGGAACCAAAAGGATAAATTTTGATAAATATTTCTAAGTAAATGACTCTCTTATTTAATACTCATACTAAGTGCCCCATCATTGAAGAGAATGGATGAAGTAAAATTCCTGTGAGTCTCTATGATGATGAACCCTGTCTATATAATTATGCATGTAACTGTCATCAATATCATTATAGGAAAATAAAATATAGTCTGATGGGGCACAAGAGGAAGAGCATTGAGTCTTGACTAACATTGTACCAGCATGGAAAAAACAGTCTTGACCCCTCAAGCAAACTCAAGGAAGTACTGCATTTTGCTCTGCCTGCAGTTAACTTTGGAGGGAGTGGCCCTCATAATCAACAAGAGTCTGAAATGCAGTACTTGAGTACAACTTAAAAAAATGACAGCATGTTCTCGGTTTGTTTCCAAGGCAAGCCATTTGACATCACAGTAATTCAAGTCTATCCCCCTACCACTGATGCTGAAGAAACTGAAATTGACCAGCTCCTTGAAGACACAGAAGAACTCTGACAACTAACAACAACAATAAAAATGTTCTATTCATCACTGGAGATTGGAATTCAAAAGTAGGAAATCAAGAGATACTTGGAGTAACAGGCAAGCTTGGCCTTGGAGAACAAAATGAAACAAGGCAACTAACTGAATTCTGCTGAGAGAATGCATGGTCATAGCCAGTACCCTTTTTCAACAACACAAGAGACAATTTTACACATGGACATCAACAAATGGTCAACACTGAAAAATTGGTTTCTTTCTTTGTAGCTGAAGATGGAGAAACTGTGTAGAGTTAGTAAAAACAAGACCTGAAACTGACTGTGGCTCCGATCATCAGAATCTTATAACAAAATTTAGGCTTAGACTAAAGAAAGCCAGAAAACTACTAGGCCAACCAAGTATGACTTAAATCCCATCCACTGTGAATATATAGTAGAGGCAACAGATAGATTCAAGGGATTAGAACTTATAAACAGTGTGCCTGAAGACTTATATTCAGAGGTCCGTAATACTGTACAGGAGACAACAAACAAAACTATTCCAAAGAAAAAGAAAAGCAGGAAGACAAAGCAGAGTATTTCAGTGGTCTCAGGCTGGAAACATTGAAAACTACCAGTCTTATCATTATTTATACCAAAGAAAGCAAAGCTCAGAGATGTTGAGAATTTGCCCAAGACTGGAAAGATATGAAAAACAGCACCAACACCCTGTGGGTTCTCATTTATTCAAATACTAATATAACTACTTGCGGAGGTCTCCATGACAAATTTTACTAATCTGTGGTGAAACAGATACTGTCTATTTCCAAAGTTGCCTTCATTCAAAATCTTCCCAGAAGCAGAGCAGGAAAGCATCATCAAAGTCCCTCTGCTTGGGAGAGCAAGGACCTGTCATGTTAGGGACTGCATACAGCAGCTAAGTGCCATCCCTACACCTCCATTTCCTCCCTTGATGGATTCTTAGCATGATTAATGGGAAAATGTAGGCAAAATGCTAACACAGAGCCAGGGATACGAAACAGTATTTGACCTTTCTTTAGCTGAAGTATGACGCCTCCTCCCCACATATGACCTCAGGGAATCAGATTTCTTAGATAAGTGGACAACTCAGTCTCATACCCATTCTCCTTCTGAGAGTCAGGAGGACAACCTGCTCCCCAGTTTGACTGAGATTAAAAGTAACAAGGAAAGGTTGTCAAGTTGACGTGTGTATCTCACAGGGTTATATATAGCTTGTGATGCTATTAAGGAGTCTATGATGGTATAATGGGTTTGCTTCCTATACCCAATAGGGCACAGTCTCTGGAAAGGGGAAAGGGAGATGCCCACTGTCTACAGAACAGATAGCAGGACCACCATTTCCATGGACACTATTTGTTAAGGTTTGTAATTATAAACAACAGACTCCACTCCAGTCAGTTTAATTTTGAATATACATTTACTGAAATATAAACCATAGTGTTTGAAGCTACAGAAATGAAAATTGCAACATCATTGTGTGGAAAAGGAGCTTTTTTAAACCAAACTCTTCTCTCATTACTGATGTTGAGAACTGGATGGTGGAAATTCCACCTTGGCCACGTACAAGGAGAGCAGTGATGGTGGGCAGGGGGATGATGGTGAGGATGCCTTGAGGATGGAGGTGAAAACAAAAATTCTGTGTTACACAGCGGGCTCTGCAGTTACTCTGGTCATGAGGAGTGTGCTACTACATTCCTTCCTTCTGTCCTCAAATAACTATAAACTGTCTTATTGGTGTCAGGAACTGTGTGAAGTGCTAGGGGTAAAGGGAAGACATGCTTTCATGGTGCTGAGAACCAGCTGGTAGAGACAGAATTAGACATGTTGACCAATGGAGGAAAGGAAAAGGCAGGCTCTGCTGAGGAGGGTAGGGCAGAGAAGGACTGTGAGGAAACTGAAGAGGTTCAGACGCAGCCACAGCCCAGCCTGGCAGGGGTCCTCCTCAGACTTCAGCGTTCCTGAATCCACTCTTTGCGTGTCCTCTACAAAAAGAAAGGAACTTGTTGAGTGCCATCAGTGTAGCCCCAGACATGGACAATGGTCAACTTAATAGATCCCGTATTTTCAAAAAAATTTGGAACCACATTCCTGAATCATGAACAAGAAGGAAGTGAGTTTTCCAAGACTACGTAGGGCACCCAGAAGCACTGCAGACCTGCCCTGGAGGGTGGCTGAATCGCTGTTCCCAACTGAGAAAGGGGAGCATGTGATCAGGCTGAGATGACCGCAAAGAGGCATCAGGAGTTGACCTTCTGCCATTCTCTCCCTGGAGAACTCGCTCAGTGTGGGTTTCACAGGACACTGCAACCTCTCCTCCTGGCAGCAGCGAGGAGGAGGACACTGTGCAGGGTGAATGGTGTGTGGCTCCCTGAGCTCCATCTATTTCCCCTGTCCTTCCCCTCCTCCGGTGCCCTGCCCCCTGTCTTACCACAGGGACTCAGCCTCTTGAGAGCAGGTCTTCATGCAGTCCTCTAATTTTTCAAAGTTGTTTGCATTTCCTTCACAGCCACCATACACAAACTGCTCACAGAGGCCAGTCTGAGCATTGTAGAAGTACCTGGTCATCATGGTATTGCAGCTACCTGTTACTTTAGGCTCCAGGCAGAAGGCAGGCTTAGAAGCTACTGGAAGGAGAGGGGCAATGGCTCAGTTATGAGGATGTTCATCACAACTCCATACAAGGACAACAACTAGAACCCCCAGTTTGTTTGCTATAGAGAATGTTAAGGCTGTGGAGGAATGCAAGATTGAAAAGACCATTTGAAAACCTCCTTTCTGGGACAGAATCATGAATGTTGCTATGGGTGACCTGATATTGTAATCATGTACAAACATATATCTTCTCATGAAGTCTTTTAAGGAAGTTTGGTATAATGCCTTTGAATAGCCTTAAATCACCTGTAAGACTTCTGAGGTTGCACAGTGGTTAAGAATTTGGCTTCCAATATTGGAGTCCTAGGTTCAATCCCTTGTCAGGAAACTATACTCTCAAATGCTGTAGACACTAAGGTAGCAGGGCATAAATTCTTTATATTCATGATTGGTAACCTGTTCAAAGGATCCATGTAACATATTTCCCCTCTGCAGATGAAGAAACTGCAGATAACTTTCCCCAGGAACAGAGCATGTGGGTGGTAGAGTTAGGACAAATTGCTATGATGTCACAATTCATCTGACACAATACCTGATTCTACCAGGAATTCAGAAAGTACAGTTCACTTGTAAGAGTAACTTGAGTCAGTGTCCTATGTTCATCACTTCCTTGTACCCAAGGTAACAATAGCCCCCAGTCACGGGTCAGAGTAAGCCTGGGTTTCTCCTAACACAAACCTGTGATGTCTCTACCATCAACCAATTCCCCAACACCCACTTGGTGTCCCCCATTCAATTGACATCTGATATGAAATTCAAGCACTTAGTGCAGACCCCACAGGTTGAGCACACAGGCCTGTCCTCAGTTTAGTGCCAGACACATGGTTCCCACTTACTTTTGCTTGTGACCAAGTGGATAAAATGGGGAAGTCCATGACCTCACCTCCATGTTCAATAACTGACCAAACTGAGGATAACACTTACTTGTTGTTCTCAGATGAATATACATGAAACATTCACAAACAGTGAGATGGAGGAGACGTGTAGGGCGAAGAGGAGGGACTGTGTGTGTGGAGCTTCCATGCCCTTGTGAGCACAGCACCCTCACAATCGTATTCACCACCCTGAAAACTCTCTGAACCTATGTGTTTATGCACTGTTGAGGTTTCGAGAAATAGGCATACTGATTGAATCATTGGTCATTGGTGACTGATCTGAATCTCTGTGTCCTTCCCTCTTCCCCGAGGTGCAGAAACTACAAACCTTTATTCTCCTCATTGAGTGTTGAGTATTCAATCTTGAGTGTTTGGTATTCCTCTAGTGTATGGTTATCGAATTGTATTCCAGAAATCATCACCTGACCTATGAAAGAGAGTACATTTCAAGAGTTTTAGGAGGCCTGCTTCATGAAACAAGAAATGGGTGAAACATGGACAAGATAGAAATAGTCAAAAGACAACAAGGGAAAGAGCCTGGAGAATTTTGTAATATTGTCTCAGCCATGGTCCCACATCCTACTGCACAAAGGCTCTGTTTCTGGTTTCCCTGAAGTTTCCTTGTTCCGTGGCTCAGTCTTTTGATTAACTTTAATAATACAGAATAAATGCTATTTGATAAAGAAATATTTTTACTTGGCCAAGGCAAGTAGGTAGGTAGAAAATTTTTTTTCAGAGGAACACATTATGGTAGAAAACAGACAAATTTGGCCATGACATGTGAACAAAGTCTTTCCATTCATAATTCATCATCTATTTGAAGAACTCATGGAATATGTTTCCCCTGTTCAGATGAGGAAAGTGCAGATGACTTGCCCCATCATACAAGCCTGTGGGTGGCCTAGTCAGGACAAGACACAGCCATGTCACAACCCATTTGATACACTATTGATTGGCTAGGAACTCAAAAAAACAGAGAACTAGTGAGAGCTTCCAGGTCCAGGGTCTTACTTTCTCTATTCACCTCTCCCCAAGCCTTGCATGAGCCCTCAAATCACAGGGGAGGGTGGGTCTGGGATTCTCCTGACACCAAACACATGGTTTTTCCACCAACCATCCAAACCACAGCCAAGGGGCAGAGCACTGTCAATTGACTTCTGATACCATATCTGTGGAGTTAGTGCCAATGCCACAGGTTGAGTTATCAACGCTGCCCTGACTTCAGATGCCAGCCATGTGGTCTTGCCTTATTATGCTTCTGACCAAGAGACTGAAAGTTATACTTCCCATGACCCCAACTCCATGCTCAAAAATTCAATCGAACCAGCGACCAAACTCAGGAATTCTCTTACTCGTCATCCTCACTTTAAAGTACTGGATAAAATCAGAAACAGTGAAATGGAGGAGATCTTTAGGGCACGGGAGGAGTGGAGGTGAGTGGGGCTTCCATGCCATGTTGAGCCCAGCACCCTCACCTCAGGACCATTTGCTCTCCCTTCACAAGCTCTCTGAGCCATTATTTGTGGATTTTTACTGAGCTTTCACTCAGTAGGCATATGTATTGAATTGTCAACCAGTGGTGACTAATCTCAGTCTCAGTGCCCTCCTCTCTCCCCATAGGTGCAGAAAATTCAAACCTTTAATTGCTTTATTGATAATTTCAGCCAATCCTGTTAGTATACTGGCTCCCTCTTTGACGATCTTGGTACCTATAGAAAAGATATCAAAATTTTTAGGAATATTGGACCATGAACCAGGACAAATTTCAAATATAGAAAGTAAAATCATAGGCAAAAGTGGACAAAGGGAAAGGCTGGGAGAATTTGTTAATATTGTATGAGCCTTGGTCCCAGGAGCCCAAGGAAGCAGGTAGAGAAATCTTTTCATGAATATCAGTTCAGTTCATGAATATACCCTGGTGGAAAATGAGCAAATTTGGCCACGAAATGAGAATAAGCTGTTTAGTTTTTTGATTGCTAGATTTTCAAAGAACTCATTTAGCACTGATCTACTGTTCAGATGAGGACTACAGATGACTTGCCTGAGGACACATGGCATGAGGGTGATAGAGTTTGAACAAGATACTTCCCTGTCAAAACCCACTTGAAATACTCTTCCCTTCTGTCAGGAACTCTGAAAATATCGATAAATGCTGAGAGCTTCTGGGTACAGTGTCCTGCTTTCATTACTCCCCTGCCTCCAGGACTCACTTGAGCTCCCAAAGCACAGGGAGAGTGAGTCTGGGTTTCCTTGACACCAATATGTGGTCTCTAGAAACAGCACACCATTTGGAGAAGGAAATGGCAACCCACTCCAGTATTCTTGCCTGGAGAATCCCAGGTACAGAGGAGCCCGGTGGGCTGCCATCTATGGGGTCGCACGTGACAGACACGACTGAAGCGACTTAGCAGCAGCAGCATAAACAACATGCATTCCTCCAAACACCCACTGGGTGTCCAACATGGCAATTTAACTCTTGACAGCAAATCCAGGGAGTTAGTACAGATTGTGTAAGTTGAGGGCTCAGAACTGTCCTCAGTTCAGACGCCAGTCATGTTATCCTGAGTCACTCTGGATTTGACAAAGTGTCCAAAACTGGCAAGTTCCATTACCCCACTCCATGTTCAATAACTCAGTAAATCTGATGACCATACTCAGGAATACCACTCACAATAGGGATGTCATGTTTCATGAAGGATAAATCTAAGCAGAGTAAAATGAGTGAGAGGTGCAGGGCAAAGTGGAAGTGGAGGTGTGGGGAGCCTCCATGCCCTAGAGAACACAGGACCTCATATCACTGCCGTGTGTTACCACCCCAAATGCTCTCTGAATGCCCACATTAATGGATTCTTACTAAGGTTTCATTAAACAGGGATTGTGATTGAATCATAGCCCAGTGGTGCCTGTTTATCAATCTCAGTGCCCTCTCCTCTTCCCAGAATTGCAGAAAGTTCACACCTGTAGCCACACCATCGATGATACTTGTAACCACATCTATTACTGAACGCTTCTCAAGTCCCCTTCTATGGCTTGTCTCCACACCTATGAAAGACAGTAAATTCCAACAGTTTCAGGAAGCCTTGGACATGAACCAAGTAAGGATCAAATATGCAAATAAAATAATAGTCAACACTGAACAAGGGAGGCAACAAATATGGATAATAAAATGATAGTCAAAAGGGGACATGGGAAAGGGCCTGGAAAGATTCCTAATAATGTCTCAGCTTTGGAATCAAGAGTCATTCTATAAGGGCTCTTTGCTACATTCCCAGCAGAATATCAACCCACATTTTTAAATTATTTTTCATGAAAGAGGAATCCTCATTATTTGACACCTAAATGTTCTTTCTTGCCCAAAGTAAGAGGTTAAAGACATGTTTTTAGATTAACACATCTTGGGGGAACATGCACAAAATTCACAATGAAATATTGATGCCCTGTTGAGGTTTCAAGTAATAGGTTTATTGATTGAATCATTGGTCATTGATCAGAATCTCAGTGCCCTTCCATGTTTCCCAAGGTGCAGAATCTACAAACCTGTATTGTCCTCACTGAGTGTTGAGTATTCAATACTGAGTTTTGGCAATTCCTCCAGTGTATGGTTATCGAATTGTATTCTGGAAATCATCACCTGACCTATGAAAGAGAGTAAATTTGAAGAGTTTCAGGAGGCCTGGTCCATGAAACAGGAAAAGGATCAAACATGGATAAGAAAATGACAGTCAAAAGACAACAAGGGAAAGGGCCTGGAGACTTTCCTTAAACTGTATCAGCCTTGTTCCCACAGGCTACCCCACAAGGGCTATGTTTCTTGTTTCCCTGCTTTCACTTCTGTGTGGTTCAATGTCTTTTGATGGCTTTAGTAACACAGGAATAAATATTATTTGATAAAGAAACATTTTAACTTGGCTAAAGTAAGTAGGTAAGTAGAGAAATTTTTTCAGATCAACATTTTGTGGTGGAAAATGGACAAACCTGGCCATATTTCATGAACAAAGTCTTTCCATTCGTAACTCTTCATCTATTCAAAGAACTCATGGAATATGTTTCCCCTGTTCAGATGAGGGAACTGCAGATGACTTGCCCCAGGATACAGGCCTGTGTGTAGCCTGGTCAGAACTAGATACTACCATGTCACAACCCATTGGGTACACTATTGATTGGCTAGAAACTCAAAAATACAGAAAACTGGTGAGAGTTTCCAGTTCCTTGGTCTCACTTTCTCTACTCACCTCTCCCCTGGCCTTACATGAGGCCTCAAATCACAGGGAAGGGTGAGTCTGGGTTTTTTTCCTGACACCAAAAACATGCTTTTTTCACCAAACATACAATGCCCAACAGCCAAGGGGCAGACCAAAGTCAATTGTCATCTGATACCATATTTGTGGAGTTAATGCCGATGCCACAGGTTGAGATATCAAGACTGCCCTGACTTCAGATGCCAGCCATGCAGTCTGCATTATCATGATTCTGACCAAGACACTGAAAGTTGAACTTTCCATGACCCCAACTCCATGCTCAAAAACTCAATCGAACCAGCGACAAAACTAAGGAAACCTCTTACTCACTCTCCTCACATTAAGGTACAGGATAAAATCAGAAACAGTAAAATGGAGGAGATCTTTAGGGCACGGGAGGAGTGAAGATAGGCAGAATGTCCATGCCCTCCTTAGCAGACCACCTTCACCTCAGGAACATTTTCTCCCCCCCTGAAAAATTCTCTGAGCCAATATTTACAGATTTGTACTGAGGTTTCACTCAACAGGCATAAGCATTGAATTGTCAGCCAGTGGTGACTGATCTCAGTATCAGTGACCTCCTCTCTCCCCATAGGTACAGAAAATTCAAACCTTTAATTGCTTTATTGATAATTTCAGCAAGTCCTGTTAGTATACTGGCTCCCTTTTTGACAATCTTGGTACCTAGGAAAGAAAAGATTTCAAAATTTTCAGGAATATTGGACCATGAATGAGTACAAGTTTCAAATATGAAAAATAAAATCATAGGCAAAAGTGGGCCAAGGAAAAGGCTTGGAGAATTTGATAATATTGTCCCAGCCTTCATCCCAGGAGCCCAAGGAAGCAGGTAGAAAAAAACTTTTCATGAATATACCCTGGTGGAAAATGAGCAAACTTGGCCATGAAATGAGAATAAGCTGTTTAGTTTTGTGACTGCTAAATGTTCAAAGAACTCATTTAGCACTGATCTACTGTTCAGATGAGGACTATAGATGCCTTGTCTGAGGACACATGGCACGAGGGTGATAGAGTCTGAACTAGATACTTCCCTGTCAAAACCCACTTGATATACTATCCTCGTCTGTCAAAAACTCTGAAAATATTGATAAGTGCTGAGAGCGTCCGGTGCAGTGTACTACTTTCATTACTCCCCTTTCCCCAGGACTCACTTGAGCTCCCAAAGCTGAGGAAGAGTGAGTCTGGGTTTCCCTGACACCAAATCTGTGGTGTCTCTAGAAACAACATGCAATTCCTCCAAATACCCCCTGGGTATCTAACAAGGCAATTTAATTCTTACAGCAAATCCAGGGGTTTAGTATAGATTGCCCAAGTTGAGGGCTCATAACTGTCCTCAGTTCAGATACCAGCCATGTTAACCCAAGTCACTCCTGATTTGACAAATTCTAAAAATGAGAAGTCCAATTGCCCCACTCCATGTTCGATACCTCAGTAAATCTGATGATGATCTCAGGAAGACCACTAACATGAAGACGTCACGTTATCAATAAGGATAAAGCTAGACACAGCGAAATGTTAGATGTGCAGGGCAAAGGGGAAGTGGAGGTGTGGGGAGCCTCCATGCCCTAGAGAACACAGGACCCTCACATCATGGCCATGTGTTACCACCCCAAATGCTCTCTGAATGCCCACATTAATGGATTCTTACTAAGGTTTCATTAAACAGGGATTGTGATTGAATCATAGCCCAGTGGTGCCTGTTTATCAATCTCAGTGCCCTCTCCTCTCCCCAGAATTGCAGAAAGTTCACACCTGTAGCCACACCATCGATGATACTTGTAACCACATCTATTACTGAACGCTTCTCAAGTCCCCTTCTATGGCTTGTCTCCACACCTATGAACGACAGTAAATTCCAACAGTTTCAGGAAGCCTGGGACATGAACCAAGTAAGGATCAAATATGCAAATAAAATAGTAGTCAACACCGAAAAAGGGAAGGAAGAAATATGGATAATAAAATGATAGTCACAAGAGGACATGGGAAAGGACATGGAAATTTTCCTAATAATGTCTCAGCTTTGGAATCAAGAGTCACTCTATAAGGGCTCTTTGCTACATTCCTGGCAGAACATCAACCCACGTTTTTTAATTATTTTTCATGAAAGAGGAATCCTCATTATTTGACACCTAAATATTCTTTCTTGCCCAAAGTAAGAGGTTAAAGACATGTTTTTAGATTAACACATCTTGGGGGAACATGCACAAAATTCACAATAAAATATTTATGCCCTGTTGAGGTTTCAAGAAATAGGCTTATTGATTGAATCATTGGTCATTGATCAGAATCTTAGTGCCATTCCCTCTTTCCTGAGATGCAGAAAATACAAACCTATATTGTCCTCACTGAGTGTTGAGTATTCAATATTGAGTTTTGGCAATTCCTCTAGTGTATGGTTATCGAATTGTATTCTGGAAATCATCACCTGACCTATGAAAGAGAGTAAATTTGAAGAGTTTCAGGAGGCCTGGTCCATGAAACAGGAAAGGATCAAACATGGATAAGAAAATGACAGTCAAAAGACAACAAGGGAAAGGGCCTGGAGACTTTCCTTAAACTGTATCAGCCTTCCTCCCACAGGCTACCCCACAAGGGCTGTGTTTCTTGTTGCCCTCTTTACACTCCTGCGTGGTCCTACATCTTTTGATTATTTTAGTAATACAGGAATAAACATTATTTGATAAATAAATATTTTCACTTGGGCAAAGGAAAAAGGTAAGTACAGAAATATTTTCAGATTAACACATTGTGGTGGAAAATGGACAAATCTCATCATGACAGGTGAATAGAGTCTTTCTACTCATCTATTCCAAGAACTCGTGGAACATGTTTCCCCTGTTCAGATGAGGAAACTGCAGATGACTTTCCCTCACATACAAGCCTGTGTTTGGCCTGGTCAGGACTAGATACTGCCATGTCACAACATATTTGATACACTATTGATTGTCTATGAACTCGAAAATACAGAAAACTGGTGAGAGTTTCCAGTTCCTGGGTCTCATTTTCTCTACTCACCTCTCCCCAGGCCTCACATGAGGCCTCAAATCACAGGGATGGGTGAATCTGGGTTTTTCCTGACATCAAATAATGGCTTTTCACCAACCATCCAATGCCTAACAGCCAAGGGGCAGACTACTGTCAATTGACATCTGATGCCATATTTGTGGCGTTAGTGCTGATGCCACAGGTTGAGTTATCAAGACTGCCCTAACTTCAGATGCCAGTCATGTGGTCTTGCGTTGTCATGCTTCTGATCAACAGACTGGAAGTTGAACTTTCCATGACCCCAACTTCATGCTCAAACATTCAATCAAACCAGCAACCAAACTCAGGAGATTTCTTACTCACTGTCCTCAAATGACAGTACAGGATAAAATCAGAAACAGTGAAATGGAGGATCTTTAGGGCATGGGAGGAATGGAGGAAGGCGGAGAGTCCATGCTCTCCTGAGCAGAGCACCCTCACCTCAGGACCACTTGTTCCCCCCTCATAAGCTCTCTGAGCCATTATTTATGGATTTTTATGGAGTTTTCACTCAATAGGCATAAGCATTGAATTGTCAGCCAGTGGTTACTGATCTCAGTCTCAGTGCCCTCCTCTCTCCCCATAGGTGCAGAAAGTTCAAACCTTTAATTGCTTTATTGATTATTTCAGCCAGTCCTGTTAGTATACTGGCTCCCTTTTTGACAATCTTGGTACCTAGGAAAGAAAAGATTTCAAAATTTTCAGGAATATTCGACAATGAACCAGGGCTAGTTTCAAATATAGAAAATAAAATCATAGGCAAAAGTGGACAAAAGAAAAAACCTGGAAAGTTTGCTAATATTTTAACAGCCTTGGTCCCAAGAGCCCAAGGAAGCAGGTAGAGAAATCTTTTCATGATTATACCCTGGTGGAAAATGACCAAACTTTGCCATGAAATGAGAATAAACTATTTAGTTTTATGATTGCTAAATTTTCAAAGAACTCATTTAGCACTTCTTTACGGTTCAGATGAGGACTATAGATGACTTGCCTGAGGACACATAGCATGAGGATGACAGGTTCCAAACAGGATATTTCCTGTCAAAACCTTCTTGATTACTATCCTTGCCTGTCAGGAACTCTGAAAATATCAATAACTGCTGAGAGCTTCCGGGTGCAGTGTCCTACCTTCATTACTCCCCTGTCCCCAGGACTCACCTGAGCTCCCAAAGCACAGGGAGAGGGAGTCTGGGTTTCCCTGACACCAAATCTGTGGTCTCTAGAAACAACATGCAATTCCCCCAAACACCCACTGAGTGCCCAACAAGGCAATTTAATTCTGACAGGAAATGCAGGGAGTTAGTATAGATTGTGTAAGTTGAGGGCTCACAACTGTCCTCAGTTCAGACGCCAGCCATGTTATCCCGAGTCACTTCTGATTTGGCAAAGTGTCTAAAACTGGGAAGTTCCATTACCCCACTTCATGTTCAATAACTCAGTGAATCGGATGACCATACTCAGGAAGACCACTCTCATAGGGACGTCATATTTTCATGAAGGATAAATCTAGGCACAGCGAAATGAGTGAGACTGCAGGGCAAAGTGGAAGTGGAGGTGTGGGGAATCCTCCATGCCCTAGAGAACACAGGACCCTCACATCACCGCTTTGTGTTACCATCCCAAATGCTCCCTGCATGTCCACATTCATGGATTCTTACTGAGGTTTCATTAGTAGGCATTTGATTGAATCATAGCCCAGTGGTGCCTGTTCTCAATCTCAGTGCCCTCTTCTCTCCCCAGATTAGCAGAAAGTTCACACCTGTAGCCACACCATCGATGATACTTGTAACCACATCTATTACTGAACGCTTCTCAAGTCCCCTTCTATGGCTTGTCTCCACACCTATGAACGACAGTAAATTCCAACAGTTTCAGGAAGCCTGGGACATGAACCAAGTAAGGATCAAATATGCAAATAAAATAGTAGTCAACACTGGACAAGGGAAGGGACAAATATGTATAATAAACAATAGTCAAAAGGGGACATGGGAAAGGGTCTGGAAACTTTCCTAATAATGTCTCAGCTTTGATATCAGGAGTTATCCTACACAGGACTCTTTCTTACATTCCCTGCAGAACATTTAACCCACATTTTTCTAATTACTTTTCATGAAAGAGGAATCTTCCTTATTTGACATCTAAATATTCTTTCTTACCCAAAGTGAGAGGTTAAAGATGTGTTTTTATTTTTTTATTTTTTTAAAATTTATTTATTTTAAGACATGTTTTTAGATTAATACATCTTGGCGGACATGCACAAAATTCACCATGAAATATTTAAGCAATGTTGAGGTTTCAAGAAATAGGCTTAATGATTGAATCAATGGTCATTGATCAGATCTCAGTGTCCTTCCCTCTTTCCCAAGGTATAGAAACTACAAACCTGTATTGTCCTCACTGAGTGTTGAGTATTCAATATTGAGTCTTGGCAATTCCTCTGGTGTATGGTTATCGAATTGTATTCTGGAAATCATCACCTGACCTATGAAAGAGAGTAAATTTGAAGAGTTTCAGGAGGCCTGGTCCATGAAACAGGAAAAGGATCAAACATGGATAAGATAATAACAGTCAAAAGACAACAAGGGAAAGGGCCTGGAGGCTTTCCTTAAACTGTATCAGCCTTCCTCCCACAGGCTACCCCACAAGGGCTATGTTTCTTGTTTCCCTGCTTTGTGCTCCAGCGAGGTTCAATCTCTTTTAATATTTTAGTAATATAGGAATAAACAATATATGATAAATAAATATTTTAACTTGGCCAGAGCAAGTAGGTACGTAGAGAAATTTTTTTCAGATCAACACTTTGTGGTGGAAAATGGACAAATCTGGTTGTGACATGTGAATAAAGCCTTTCCATTCATAACTCTTCATCTATTCGAAGAACTCATGGAACATGTTTCCCCTGTTCTAATGGGGAAACTGCAGATGACTTGCCCCAGGATACAGACCTGTGTGTGGCCTGGTCAGGAATAGATACTGCCATGTCACAACACATTTGATAACACTATTGATTGTCTAGGAACTCGAAAATACAGAAAACTGGTTAGAGTTTCCAGGTCCTGAGTCTCACTTTCTCTACTCACCTCTCCCCAGGCCTCACGTGAGTCCTCAAATCACAGGGGAGGGTGAGTCTGGGTTTTTTCCTGATACCAAATGCCTGGTTTTTCCAATAACTATCCAATGCCCAACAGCCAAGGGGCAGACCACTGAAAAATGACATCTGATAACATATCTGCGGAGTTAGTGCTGATGCCACAGGTTGAGTTATCAAGACTGTCCTGACTTCAGATGCCAGCCATGTGGTTTAGTGTTTCATGCTTCTGACCAAGAGACTGAAAAGTCGAGCTTTCCATCACCCCAACTCCATGCTCAAATACTCAATCGAACCAGCTGCCAAACTCAGGAAACCTCTTACTTACTCTCCTCACATTAAGGTACAGGATAAAATCAGAAACAGTGAAATGGAGGAGATCTTTAGGATATGGGAGGAGTGGAGGTGAGCAGGGCTTCCATGCCTTCCTGAGCAAAACACCCTCACCTCAGGACCATTTGCTCCCTCCTCACAAGCTCTCTGAGACAATATTTATGAATTTTTACTGAGGTTTCACTCAATAGGCATAAATATTGAATTGTCAGCCAGAGGTGACTGATCACCGTCTCAATACCCTCCTCTCTCCCCATAGGTGCAGAAAGTTCAAACCTTTAATTGCTTTATTGATTATTTCAGCCAATCCTGTTAGTATACTGGCTCCCTTTTTGACAATCTTGGTACCTAGGAAAGAAAAGATTTCAAAATATTCAGAAATATTGGACCATAAACCCGGACAAGTTTCAAATATGGAAAATAAAATCATAGGCAAAAGTGGACAAAGAAAAAGGCATGGAGAATTCGCTATTATTGTAACAGCCTTGGTCCCAAGAGCCCAAGGAAACAAGTAGAGAAATCTTTTCATGAATATACCCTGGTGGAAAATGACCAAACTTTGACATGAAATGAGAATAAGCTGTTTAGTTTTATGACTGGTAAACATTCAAAGAACTCATTTAGCACTTCTTTACGGTTCAGATGAGGTCTATAGATGACTAGCCTGAAGTCACATAGCATGAAGGTGATATGGACCGAACAAGATACTTCCCTGTCAAAATCCACTGGATATACTATCCTCTTCTGCCAGGAACTCTGAACATATCTATAAATGCTGAGAGCTTCTGGGTGCAGTGTCCTACTTTCATCACTCCCCTGTCCCCAGCACTCACCTGAGCTCCCAAAGCACAGGGAGAGTGAGTCTGAGTTTCCCTGACACCAAATCAGTGGTGTCTCTTGGTATAGATTGTGTAAATTGAGGGTTCAGAACTGTCCTCAGTTCAGACGCCAGCCGTGTTGTCCCGAGTCATTCCTGATTTTCAAAGTGTCTATAACTGGGAAGTTCCATTACCCCAGTCCTTGTTCAATAACTCAGTAAATCCGATGACCATAGTCAGTAAGACCACTCACATAGGGATATCATGTTATCATAAAGTATAAATCTAGACACAGCAAAATGAGTTAAAAATGCAGGGCAAAGTGGAAATGGAGGGTGGGGATCCTCCAAGCCCTAGAAAACATAGGACCCTCACATCACCAATGTGTGTTACCATTGGAAATGCTCTCTGAATCACATATTTAGGGATTCTTATTGAGGTTTCACTAAACAGGCATTTTGATTGAATCATTGGTCAGTGCTACCTGTTCTCAATCTCAGTGCCCTCTTCCCTCCCCAGATTAGCAGAAAGTTCACACCTGTAGCCACACCATCGATGATACTTGCAACCACATCTATTACTGAACGCTTCTCAGGTCCCCTTCTATGGCTTGTCTCCACACCTATGAACAACAGTAAATTCCAACAGTTTCAGGAAGCCTGGGACATGAACCAAGTAAGGATCAAATATGCAAATAAAATAGTAGTCAACACTAGGCAAGGGAGGGAACAAATATGGTCAAGAAATACTAGTCACAAGAGGATGTGGGAAAGAGCCAGGAAACTTTCCTAATAATGTCTCAGTTTTGGTATCAGGAGTCATCGTACACAGGGCTCTTTCTTACATTCCCTCGAGAACATTCATCACAGGTTTTTCTAATTAGTGTTCATGAAAGAAGAATAGTCATTACTTGACACCTAAATATTCTTTCCTGCCTTAAATAAATAGTTAAAAAATTATTTAGATTAACACATCTTGGCGGAACATGCACAAAATTTACCATGAAATATTTATGCACTGTTAGGTACATAAATAGGTTCATAAATCAAGAAATAGGTTTACTGATTGAATCATTGGTCATTGATCAGAATCTCAGTGCCCTTCCATCTTCCCCGAGGCACAAAAACTACAAACCTTTATTCTCACTGAGTGTTGAGTATTCAACTTTGAGTGTTGCCAATTCCTCCAGTGTATGGTTATCGAATTGTATTCTGGAAATCATCACCTGACCTATGAAAGAGAGTAAATTTGAAGAGTTTCAGGAGTCCTGGTCCATGAAACAGGAAAAGGATCAAACATGGATAAGATATTAATAGTCAAAAGACAACAAGGGAAAGGGCCTGGAGACTTTCGTTATATTGTATTAGCCTTGCTCCCACAGAATATGCCACAAGGATCATGTTTCTTGCTTTCCCTGCAATTGTCCTCCTCTGTGGTTTGATACCTTTGGATTACTCTCAATAATATAGGAATAAATATTATTTGATATAGAAATATTTTTACTTGGCCAAAGCATGCAGGTAGAGAATTTTTTTCAGATCAACACTTTGTGGTAGAAAATGGACAAATCTGGTCCTGAGACGTGAGTAAAATCTTTCTGTTCATAACTCATCATCTGTTCTAAGAACTCATGTACATGTTTCCCCTGCTCAGATGAGGAAACTGCAGATGACTTGCGCCAGGACACAATCATGTGGGTGGACTGGTCAGGATATGGTATTTGTTCCATTTGATACACTATTGATTGGCTAGGAACTTAACAATACAGAGAACTGGTGACAGTTTCCCGGTCTAGGCGCTTACTTTCACTACTCACGTCTCCCCAAGCCTCACCTGAGACCACAAATCAAAGGAGAGGGTGAGTCTGCATTTTCTCTTAATGCCAAATACATTTTTCCACCAAGCATCCAATTCCCAACACTCAACAGGCCACGCACTGTCCATTCAGTTCTGATACCACATCTGTGGAGTTAGTGCCAACGCCATAGGTTGAGGTATCAAGACTGTCCTGACTTCAGATGCCAGCCATGTGTTCTCACATTATCATGCTTCTGACTAAGTGACTGAAACTCGAAATTTCCATTTCTTCACCTCCATGCTTAAAAACTCAATGGAACAAGCAATCAATCTCAGGAAAACTCTTAATCACTGTTCTCAAATTAATGTGCAGGAAAAAACTCAGAAACAGTGAAATGGAGGAGATCTTTAGGGCACGGGAGGAGTGGGGGAAGGTGGAGCGTCCATGCCCTCCTGAGCAGAGCACCCTCACCTCAGGACAATTTGTTCTCCCCTCATAACCTCTCTGAACCAATATTTATGGGTTTTTACTGAGGTTTCACTCAATAGACATAACTACTCAATTGTCAGCCAGAGGTGACTGATCACCATCTCAATGCCCTCCTCTCTCCCCATAGGTGCAGAAAGTTCAAACCTTTAATTGCTTTATTGATTATTTCAGCCAATCCTGTGAGTATACTGGCTCCCTTTTCGACAATCTTGGTACCTATGAAAGAAAAGATTTCAAATTTTCAGGAATATTGAACCATGAACCCGGACAAGTTTCAAATATGGAAAATAAAATCATAGGCAAAAGTGGACAAAGGAAAAGGCCAGGAGAATTTTAATATTGTGCCAGCCTTTGTCCCAAGGGAGCAGGTAGAGAAATCTTTTCATGAATATACTCTGGCAGAAAATGACCAAACTTGGTCGTGAAATGTGAAAAGCTGTTTAGTTTTATGACTGGTAATGTTCAAAGAACTCATTTACCACTTATCTACTGTTTAGATGAAGACTATAGATGGCCTGACTGAGACGTCATGAGGGTGATAGAGTCTGAACAAGATACTTCCCTGTCACAACACTTGATGTACTATCTTCTTCTGCCTGGAACTCTGAAAATGCCAATTAATGCTGAGAGCTTCTGGGTGCAGTGACCTACTCTCATTACTCCCCTGTCCCCAGGACTCACCTGAGCTCCCAAAGAACAGGGAAACTGAGTCTGGGTTTCCCTGACACCAAGTCTGTGGTGTCTCTAGAAACAACATGCAATTCCGCCAAACACCCACTGAGTGTCCAACAAGGCAATTTAACTCTGACAGCAAATCCAGGGAGTTAGTATAGATTATGTAAGTTGAGGGTTCAGAACTGTCCTCAGTTCAGATGCCAGCCATGTTATCCCGAGTCACTCCTGATTTGACAAAGTGTCTAAAAGTGGGAAGTTCCATTACCCCTCTTCATGTTCAATAACTCAGTAAATCTGACGACCATACTCAGTAAGACCTCTCACATAGGTATATTACGTTATCATAAAGGATAAATCTAGGCACAGCAAAATGAGCGAGATGTGCAGGGCAAAGTGGAAGTGGAGGTGTGGGGAGCCTCCACGCCCTGAAACATAGGACCCTCACATCACACCATGTGTTACCACCCCAAATGCTCCCTGAAATGCATGTTTATGGAATCTTATTGAGGTTTCATTAAATAGGCATTGTGATCGAATCATTGGCCAGTGGTGCCTGTTCTCAATCTCAGTGCCCTCATCTCCCCAGAGCTGCAGAAAGTTCTCACCTGTAGCCACACCGTCGATGATACTTGTAACCACGTCTATTACTGAACGCTTCTCAGGTCCCCTTCCATGGCTTGTCTCCACACCTATGAACGACAGTAAATTCCAACATTTTCAGGAAACCTGGGACATGAACCAAGTAAGGATCAAATATGCAAATAAAATAGTAGTCAACACTGGACAAGGTAAAGAACAAATGTGGATAATAAACAATAGTCAAAAGGGGACATGGGCAAGGGCCTGGACACTTTCGTAATATTGTCTCAGCCTTGGTCCCAGTGCTCAACCTACACAGGTCTTTTTCTTACATTCCCTGCAGCACATTTATTCCAGGTCTTTCTGATTATTTTTCATGATAGAAGGACACTCACTATTTGACATGTTAATATTCTTTCTTGCCCAAACTAAGTAGTAAAGGAAATTTTTTCAGATTTATTTTAGATTAACATATATTGGTGTAAAATGCAGGAAATTCAGCATGAAATGTGATTCACTTCCTCATATATATGAATGGTAATCTGTTCAAAAACCCATGTAACATGTATCCCCTGTTCTGATGAGAAAATTGCAGATGACTTGTTCCAGGACTTGGCATGTGGGTCTCAGGGCCAGGACAAGATACTAGCATGTTACAATCCATTTGATACACTCCCTGATTCTCCCAAGAACTCTGAAAATATAGACAACTGAGATTAGTTTCTGGTTGCAATGTGTACTTTCATTGTTCTCCCTTTTTGGAGCATCACCTGAGCCCCAAATCACAGGGGAGAGTGGTCCTGGGTTTTTCTGTGACACCAAATATGTGGTGTCTCTACCAACAGCACCCAATTCCCCAAACACCCACTGGGTGTGCAACAAGTCCTCGATGGAGCTACTGCAGATTCTGCAGGTTGAGGGCTCAAAACTCTTCAGTTCAGATGGCAGCCATGAGGTCCTGAGTCAATCATCCTGTGACCAAATAAGTAAAAGGGGGGATTGTGGGTCCATGACCCCATCTTCAAATTCAACAACTCAATAGAACTGGGGGCTGAACTTTGGAAACCATTGGTTACATTCCCAAAATAGAACTGAAGGCAGAAAAATGGAAGAGATGTGCAGGCAAAGAAGGAGGGAGGTGTGCCCAGCCTCTGTGCCCTAGTGAGCACAGCGCCCTCACAACAGCTTCCTGTATTCACCAACCAACAAGCTCTCTGAGCCCAGTTCTTATGTATTTCTTCCTAGGGTTCACTAAACAGGCATATTGGTTTTATTATCAGCCACTGGTGATTGATCTCACTTTCAGTTCCCTCCCTTCTCCTCAGAGGTTCTGGAATGACAGTTGTTGAAAACTGTAAACAGTAAAGGCATGCTTGTGATTTTTGGATATCAACCACATCTTGAGGTTACCTTGAGTTGCCTCTTCTGACTCATCTCATAACATCTAATGGCAGGAAACCCCAACAATTTTAGGAGATCTAGGCCATTAACTAAGAGATGGTACAAATTTGAAGCTTTCTATTACTATGCAGGGCTTTCCTGGTGGCTCAGCTGGTAAAGAAACCACCTGCAACGCTCCTGCATTGCAGATTCAGTATCTGTGTTGGGAAGATCCCTGGAGAAGGCAAAGGGATCCCATTCCAGGATTCCAGCCTGGAGAATTCCATGGACTATACAGTTCATGGAATCGCAAATAGCTGTATCTGACTGAGCAACTTTCACTTTATTTACTTTTATTACTACACTACAGTTAGGTTCAGGGACATGGCAGGGAACAGGAATAGAGAGTCTCCAAAATGGGGACCCTGATCTGGTAGAGTTATATATATATATAATAAAATTGTAATATATATCTTCATGAGAGTCAAGATATCAGTGGAGTTAAACCTTTGCAACTTAAGTCTTCCCTGATGGTCCAGTAGATAAGAATGCACATGCTACTGCAGGGGACATGGGTTCTTTCCCAGATTGGGAAGATTCCACATGCCTTGAAGGAACTAAGAAGGTGAATTGCAACTTATGAGCCCAATTCCTAGAGCCCTTGCCCTGCAACAAAGGAGCCACTTCAAGAAGAGACCCACACACCACACCAGAGAGTAGACTGCAGAACTAGAGAATACCCTTCCATAGGGAGGAAGATCAATGCTGCCAAAACCAAAGAAACAGACAGTAATCCTGACCAACATGACAGGAGAAATCCAGAGATGCTTGGCAACACCCACTCCTCACCTGCCCCGCCCCCTTCCATGGACTTTTATCATTTTCCCAGAAGATGTAGAGGAGAGGTGAGGCTGGACCTACCTTCATCCTGGATATGGTGTATATTCACTGGGGTGCTGTCCACCAGGATAACCAGGAGGAAGAGAAGGGCTGCGGAGAGGCAGAGCTGTCTCATCTTGGTGGCCTTACAGGAGGGCTCCTGAGGATGCTGGGGATGCACTGAGCTTTAATATCCTGGCTGAGGGGTGGGATCAGGTGATGAGGAGGGGAGTGGGCAAGGGGAGGAGCTGGGTCAGTCCTGTTTATTGCATAATCTCCCTACCTAACCATGCCTCCTGCTTCTGTCTGCAGGGCTCAAATGCCCAGTAACACCACTTCTCACTTCATGCCTGTGGGTCTCATGTAAACACAGATTGTGATCAGAGAGATGCAGTGTGTCCTATATGGACAGTCAGGGAGCATCCCAGCCCCTACAGCAGTGCCTGGCATGTGATGAATGATAAGTAGGTGGATGAGAGTAGATCAGAGAACAGATAAGTGAACAGCTTTGTGTTAAACAGGTCCTCCACTTCAGCCACCTGCAGGTGTCATCTCACCTGGACCCCAATGCCCTGACCCCCCTCCCCCACCTCAGACGACAGGTGTGACACAGGTCACCTTCCTACAACCATTGCCACAGCTTCTCCGGTGGATAGACACTTGCACTTTAGCAGACATTGGCCCACAAGGGACTTAGCAGGTGAAGGTGATGTTGTCCTGGGCTATAACCCTGTTTTTGCATCAAAAAACGAGTAAGTGGGAGGGGCGGCTGAGGGGAAACAGGCTGCTGAATCTGCCTCCACAGCATGACCAACAATCATCATCACCTGGTTTCACCAATAGGAGAGCGGCTTCCCTGAGTGAACATCAGGCAACCTCAGAAGACCACCTTAGCCACCCAATTCCTCCTGCCCTCTCCCTCTCTGTTAATGGGGCCATAGGACCTCAGTTTGGGTACCAGCTCTTCATTTTCCTACCTTTTTGCCTGAGGATTTAAACCTCTCAGAACCCTGTGTCTTCAGGAGTCACATGAAACGCGTGCTGTGCACCCATGTGGTTGCTATGGAAGCAATGGATGCAACAGGCATATATTCCTTCTCCCTAGAAGGCAAAGTCCATTGTAGTAGTAATAAAAACAGTAATGAGTAATTTCTCCAGGCAAAACTTCAATTCTTTATTGTAACAGGCATTATCCTACACACGTGAAATATGTAGTTCATCTATTTCTAAAAAGTCTTTAAAGAAAGGGGCAGAAACTGTTGACATATCCTCGTGTTACTGAGGAGGGACCTGAGATGTAAAGAAATAAGGTAATTTGCTTAGACCATAACTTGTAGAGAGAGGATTTGGACCCAGTGATCTGACTCAGAGTCTGTGCGCATGCACTCTGCTGCATTGCAGCTGTAAATTAGAGAGCACACGCCACACCCACCATCCCATCACTCACTCTTGTTTATCACTTGTGGTTACAAACCTAGAGCACCGTTGAGAATGGCGGGAGTTCTCAGTACCAAGCTGGCTTAGTACACATGTGCAACAGGGTGACTCACAAAACAAGCCACTGTGTGTCGAGGGCCTACTCTCTCTGAGACTTTCCACATGCGTGGTTTCCTTCAGCCTCATTTCGATCCTACAACATCTGGGATTCTCATCCCATTGTGTCAAGCAGAAAGCAGAGGCTCAGAGGTAATGCCACTTGCTCAGGTCACAGAACCGCAGGTGGTAAAACAAGGATTCACATTCAGGAGGCACTCTGGCCCTGCCCTTCTTTCTGCGTCAATCTCTGCATCTGAGACCAGGGAGTAGCTGAGACTCTTCCCTCAAATAACTCCTCTTTTTCTCCCTTCTCATCTCTCATCAGTCTATCTGTCTCTCTCAATGTCCTCCTCTCCTGGTCCTCCTCACTCTGGTCCAAATTAGAGGCCCCCCTTGTCCACAAACCCCCCGATGGGCCAGTTCTCACTCCAGCTCCCCCCTTCCTGTTCATGGAAGTGTGGTCTCTGATTAGAAATCTCTCTGGCCCCTGCAGGCCTCTTTAGAGAAATTGAAAGGCAGGAACAAGTCGCTGTATACTGGAGGAAGACAAGCGATGCCAACCCTCTGGGACCCCAGGTCATATCTCTGCTTCTGTTCCTCAGTATCTCCATCTGAATAATGAGGATCTTCAATCCATGGTAATAAGGCCACATCTTCAAATGGATGGAATGCACCTGGGGCATACAGAAGATGTTTAGATATTTGAGATGCTGTGCCGTTGGAGAGGTATGTTCATATCTGCATAATAGGTGATTACTTTCTTGCTACACGATAAAAGAGCACCTGATATTTTGAACACTGTAGTATGTTATTCCAGATTATGTTCAAGATTAAAAGGGATGTATCCTTAGGATGCACTTCTGGCTAAAATATATGTATCGTTAACTACAGAGTTCATTTTACAATTTTAGGCATTTATAAGATTTCACAGCGGGACATTTCATATAAATTTTTTCTACCAATGCAGGACAAGTAAACAAACTGGTATTTAACAAGGACCATGGGTCTCAAATGCGAGTGAGCATCAGAATCCCTTAGTCATTTGGTCAACCACGGATTTCGGATCTTCATCTGCAGAGTTTTGATTCAGTAGCACAGGTTGGGACCTAACTAGCTGCATCAACAGTGTTCCCAAGGCGCTGAGGGTGCTACTCAAGGGACCACACTTTGAAAACCATGAACTAAGCAAAGAAGAGCAACCCTCTTCTTAGGAAGGGACCATTCTTTCCAGCTTCCATAATCCCCACCATTCCTAATTGTCCACCTGCCTCCACACCCACTTGGAATACTTCCATTTACATTACTCACCTGTCCAGGAGGGCATTTAAAGTTGTTGCCTGTGATGTGGTCTCACAGTAAGTGTTGATAAAAAGATACCTTGCTCTTCTTTAACAATCTTAGCAATTAAGTATCATTATTCCTTTTTTAGAGATGAAGATACTGAACCTCAGCTATGGAAAAGTGACTTTCTGGAAGACAAACAGAGGAAAATCAGGAGGAAGATACTTGCCTGTTTTTCCTGTGTTTCCAGATATTTCAATTTCATTAATACACAAACAAATGAACACAACCCATGCATATCTATTTGATATTAACACAGATGATGCATCAAATATCCTGTCATGAGTGTCACATTGTACTTACAAGAATAGGAGGTTATGCCAGCCTCTCTAGGGGCATTCAGGCAGCCACATTCCAAGGCTCTCGAAGCGCTGGTGGGGTTGTGGATGAAGTTGAGGATACAGTGAGGAAGAAGACCACAGCAAGAATCGTGAATTCACATCCCAGACTCTACTTTCACCGCAGTCATGAGCAGCTTTTCTCCTGCATTGTTCACATCCTCATTTAAATATGGGCTATCCTATGTGCCTGGAGCTGTGCAAAGTTCTTTGGAAAGCGCTACTCTCATGGTGCTTAGAGCCAACTGGATGAGGCAGGAGTAAAGCAAGTAGCCAAATATGAGAGAGAGGAAAGAGGCAGATTTCTGCCGAGGATGTAGGGCTGAGAAGCAAGAGGGAAAGGCTGAATATTATCACAAGCAGCCCTGACTGAGTCCCCCTTGGACTTCAGCTTCTCAGGGGAGCCCAGTTCCCATGGCCTCTGCAAAAGGAGAGGAACTTGCTGACTGGATCTCTGAAGCCCCAGACCCAGACACTGTGTACCTGGACACGACCTTATAGCATCCTGGAAATGAGTAACCACAGTGCTCTCAATATCACAAGGACCACCAAAAAGGAAGTGAAGTTTTGAGCTGAGGTGGGGGTAGAACTACAGACCTGTTCTGTGGCCTGCCTGAATTACTCTTCCCACCTCAGAAAGGGGAGCATGAGAGCGAGCTCAGATTATCAGGATGGTGCTTCTAGGGCTGACCTTTTGCCAAGTTGGCCCCTGGAGGACATGTTCAGCCCATGGTTTCTAAGAATACTGCAGCCACTTCTCCCGGGAGACAGCGAGGAAAATAGTCACTGTGGGCTATTTTGAGGAGTGTGTATCCTCCTGAGCTCCACCTCTTTTCACAGTCCTTCCCCTCTCCCCATTCTATACCTGCTATCTTATCCAGGATAGGATAGCACCCACAGGGGTCTTTTTTTTTTTTTTTTTTGGTTCACAGGGGTCTTAACACAATCTGGCCCCCTTTGTAATCTTTTTTCTTAACATTTTAGCTACCATATACAAAAATCCCAGAACCTGGACTTGGCATTGTAGCTGTGTTTGGTTAGTTGGGCCTTGCAGGGACCTGTGTATTGAGGTGCCAGGCACATGTCAGCCCACAGGGCTGTAGGGGTGGGAGGATGTCAGTGAAATACGAAGATGGTCATCACAGCTGGGTCTAAAAGGTAAATACAGAAAATACCAGTTTGTATGCATTAGAGACTGGTTGTGGTGCATGTGAAAAGACCATTTCATATCCTGTTTTGTAAGATATTATTATTCTTGGTTTTAGGCTTCTAGTCAACAGGGTAATAGTGTAAATAATTGCATATCATTACTGATATTTACACATGAATTGGCATGTTGCCACTGATTAGCTGCGAATAGAGCAAAAATAAAAGAAACATATTAAGAATATTCTCCAAGTGTTGATCATGACTGGAGCTAGACAATGGTCCATGAGTTTATAATACTAACATCTGTACATGTATATAGCTGATAGCTTCCAGTATAAAGAAGAAAGTGTGAAGACATCATGATTTAATGGAGGAAGGCATGGAAGCAAATCCCCCACACTGTTCATATCATGGGCACTTGAATCAAGGAATATTGTGGGTATACTGATACTTTGACTTATATAAGAAGTATTAATCAGTCTTTTAACCATTCCTGGAAAAGAGCTTCTAAAATGATTGGATTTCCTAGGAAATGACAGAACACAGAGGAGTCTTTCATGATGTGAGGGATGTCACTAGCAAAACCTATATCTAACCTTAGAATGGAGGTTTGTTGCCTGGGTAACTAACACCCGATTTGCTGGTTGAGTTCTTTGCTTTTTGTTTTTTAATTTATACATTTTTTTATCTGTAGGATAATTGCTTTACAGAATTTTGTTATTCTCTGTCAAACATCAACATAAGTCAGTGATAGGTATATTTTAATTCTCAC